CCTCAAAGGGCCATACAATTAGTGCCTATTTAAAGCACCCTATGTAATGATTACCTTAAAAGTTGGGCTATCTAACTCTTACTCAGGATTGTTAATATTTTGAACATCCATCCCATATCTATTTATAACAAATTTAGGCAATGATCCCCTTATATGATGATAAAGCAGATCAAGACTTGCCCAGATTTCATGCTCTAAATGTTTTGGTTTATACATTTGTCTTCTACCAACAAACCCCATTATATCTGTATCAGGAACCTACTATCAAATCCTACTGAAGTTGTCTTCCTTGCCCAGCAGGGAGAACCAGTAGGACGAAGCCAACCTCTGAGGTAAGCAGGATCAGTAAACAATAGGCTGTTTATTAAAAAGCTTCATTAGTTCAAAGTATCAACAGTTTTCAAAATAAACCTTCAAATTTCTCCTTACATAAACTTCAGGAACTTTTCCAAAATTTAAAATATCTGTAAGAAGAAATACTGCTTCTTTACAGTAGTGTCTCCATCATCAGAAATGTATTCTACCACCTGGTTTGCCTCCAATGAATTAAACCAAAAAGCTTGAATTAACTACACTGCAAGGTTCAAAAAAGACTAAAAGTATGAAATATATGCAACTCCTCTCAAAATGGTACCCTTTTGACTTCAGAACTTTATTTTAAGGCTATATAAGGCCAGATTAGGAAGGTGTTACATACCTGGGTGATTTGTCAAGGATTTTCAATGAGAAAGAAAAAAGTTACGGGCAAAGAAAGCTTTCCGTTTGTATTTGGTATAACCACTACCTAGTAATGTAACCATTCAGTCTTATCTCTACATGAATCATACTGTTATTGCAGTTTCTAGGCCTGTGGTAACAAAATGTTTATTAAAAATAAAGTATAGTAAATTTTTATTACAACCACAGGTACTTAGGGAAACTAAGGCAAGGGTCACTTTAGAATGCAGTATGTGAGAACGGTATTACTACGGCACCACAAAAGGCTGGGACACCATGACTGATCATGGCTCCTTTTNACTAAAAGTGTGGAATATATGCAACTTATCTCAAAATGGTATCCTTTTAACTTCAGAACTTTATTTTAAGGCTATGTAAGGCCAGATTAGGAAGGTGTTACATACCTGAGTGATTTGTCAAGGATTTTCAATGAGAAAGAAAAAAGTTACAGGCAAAGAAAGTTTTCCATTTTGTATTTAGTATAACCACTAGCTAGTAGTGTAACCATTCAGTCTTATCTCTACACAAATCAGACCGTTATTGCAGTTTCTAGACCTGTGGTAACAAAATATGTTTATTAAAAATAAAGTATAGTAAATTTTTATTACAACCACAGGTACTTAGGGAAACTAAGGCAAGGGTCACTTTAGAATGCAGTATGTGAAAATGGTATTAATACAGCACCACAAAAGGCTGGGACACCATGACTGATCATGGCTCCTTTTTGGTGTGCTTTCTTGCGTCTTATTTCTTAAATTCTGTCTACTCAGATGACATGTGGGAGGATGACAACCGACAGTTTACCATAAACACAACATCCTAAGATATTCTCTGAGTGACGCGTTAAATGTTAAAATTCTGAACACCCTTCCCAAGGCCACAGTGGTACGCATCCCCTTTCAACACAGTATTAACGCCTGCCATCACCAGTGACAGCTTACAGCTCTTTCCGATCCCCTACCCTTCCACAGAAGTCAATTACAGCACTGTATAACTAGTGACTCGGTATGAAATAAATTCTCTCCAATGCTCCCAATGGAATCAATCCTCTATAAACATCACAAAACACATTATCAACCTGGATGGCAGAGTCCCATGGCCTAAAAGGTGTAACAGCTCATATCTCGGTCATGGCTGCACGGCCAGAAAAATGAGCATCATGGTGGGCTCCTGCATTCTTCACATTGTGCTCATGAACAAAGTCAGTGTAGTTTCTATGTGCAGTCTGGGGTGGGGGCAAGGCCCTTGTGCTCCACTGGTTTCCACCACGCTGACAGCAGTCACTGGTAGCAGAGAGCCTAGATGGTTGAGGAGTGGGAGTACAGTTAGTCAACAGGAACAGAGAACACGGATGTGTAATGGAGAAAGGCCATGTGACCAACATGCACCACTATGGTGAGCAGTTACCATGCAACGCTAACATTCAAGAATAGCAGAAGGGGAAATCCACACAGTTACATGGATCATGTAATGGAAAGCACCAATACGAAAAGACTAGAATCAGTTAAGTGAATTAATTAGTGAAGGAAAGTCAAAGAGGGCAAAACATTCTGTTATCTGTTCCTGCTGTTGCTGGGACACTCCCAACATAGAAATGTTTGGAATTCTTGTGGCACAAAAATTCTAAGTGAGCTTTATTCAAATATTAGAAAGAATTCTACAGAAAGGCAAGGACATATATGGAAAGGGCAATTATAAAAATGATCTTCAAATTTACATGATTTTAAAAAAGTATAATCCAGGAAATAAAATTCAGGAGCATTAAAAATAAAAGCCCTTCCCTTAGGCATTGAGCAAGTTTATATCAGTGCTCCAAATTAACAATAATGATTGTCCTTTCTGTAATCAAAGTTCATAGGAGCACAAGCCGAAAGCAGCAGGCACAGATAGAGCACAGAAGTGCCACAAGCACAGGCGACTTAGATGCAGATGTTCACAGGCATGGGCGTGTGTAGCCTAGGGAGTCACACGAGTCAGTCCTCCAGTAGAGAGAAAACACCTGCCACACTCTTGAGATGTGCAACGGGAGCACATCCTTCACATGACCAACACCAGAAAATGAGTGTTTCAAATACAAAAGGCAACTAAAATCTATTTTTTTTAAAAAGTAGTATTGTTTTTCAAATTCTATAAAATATTAACTTAATTTTTAATATTTTTCCTTGGGAAAACTAAAAAGGAAATTTTCAAAATAAACATGGAAGGTGTACTTTTAACTCTAAGTATAATTTTATTTCCTTCACTGAAATGCAACTTGCTCATCAGACTTCATAAGCAAACTTCATGACCCCTTGATGTAGAAATTAAATTTGGCTTGTGTTCTGGTTTACAGACACCAGTTTTCCTAAGTTCTATACATTTTTGTTTTTTGATAGGGTTGGGTTATCTCACTGCCCAGGCTGGCCTGGAATCATGATGTACCTGCACCCTCTTCTCAAACACCGGGATTATGGGCATGCTTTATTTGTTTTGAGATAAGGTTACTTTGCTGCTAGGATGGACTCAAATCCCTGGACTCAACAAAGCCTCTCTCTAGTCTCAGCCTTGCAAGCAGTGTCATCGGGCTTTTTGTTAATAAACAATTCATGTATTCAAGTGATATGAAATATCTTAACAAATCCTAAGTTACTGACATTAAATCATTCACCTAGTTAATGGTTTCATTTAAGATACAAGGGGGAAAAATTTGAAGACCTGAACAGGAAATAGGCTTAAATTAAACTGGCCCCGAACCATCTGCTAGAAGTAAGATGTTCCACAGGCTGTCCTGGCACCCAGTCAGTTTCCAGACTTTGTGACCACTTTCTAAAGGAGGACTGCTTTATGGCCTCTGAAATCTAAGCATGCAGACACAAAGAATGGGAGGCAGGACGCACTTTACAGAAGCCTGGAGAGTCACTAGCTATAAGACACACCAATGGGTGTCAGTTCCGGGCCCTGCTGACGTACTCTGAAGCTCATCAGGTTTTCAGGGTCATCTCCATTTCAGCAAAGGAGCTGTCAGCACAACCAGAGAAAGGAAGAGGGCACATGGCTCCAATTTTTTTCATTTTTCTTGAAACTGAAATCCAATATTCTCTCTAAAGGCTACACCAAAGGAACTGGTAATGTCTAACAAATCAAATTAAGCAGACTTAAATATGTACTCATTAAAATGGAATTCAATAAAGACCTAGCGTCATAGCACAGGAAGAAAACTAATCAGATTCTTGCTTGGTATTAAAGAAAGACATGCATATATTAAGACAGTTGAAGTCTGGTTACTCACTGTGTGTGTGACATCGGCCTCAGTGGCACATTAAAGAGATGTATTTTAACTGCCTGCTGAGCTGCTATCTTCAGCAAGAACCCAAAACTTATATCTTAAAGAATAAAATTGTTCATATGTAGCCCTCATTTGTTACTCTTTTGGTATGCACATATGAATACATACCTAAATACCCTATATCATATTCCCTATATCATACCCTACATATATGGACAAAACAAGGGAGAATATATCCTCCTTAATTTTAACTGCAAATTATCTGGAACTGAAATAAAACATACCCAACCATCACAGGCAAAGCGTCCTGTGGTTAGTTAAGCCAACGATACCAGTGGAAAGAGCACATAGCACAGACAGAGAAAGCCACCAACCACTGCTGACCCATCACCATGAAGGAAGAGCTGGCTGCACAGAAAGCCGACCCAAACCTTGAGATCACCACAGAAACTCATTAGGTTTCAGGTATTAACAAACTAAGAGCAAGAGAAAAAGAGAAAAATCTCATGAATCATCTAGTGCATTCAATAAATAGATACAAAGCTTGAACAGACAATATATCCATAGTATCACTCAGCCCAAACGATTTCCAGGGAGCCCTCCCCAAGCCACAGCTTTCTAGGAAAGCACAAACCCACCTGGTAAAATCCAACAAGCCACAAAGTATTCATATCTGTGTGTTTACATTTTATAAAAATAGCTTTACTTTCATTGAATTATTTCTCGAGCTCCCCAAACTGGAATATTTTTCTTTCTTCTTTTTTAGACTTTAACTAGCCATTCCCAGATCACATCAGTGAAAGTCGGCAGTCTTATGTTCTGCCTTTAAGACAGCCATCCCCCCCTTCTTCATCCAAGACCTAACGCTCACCAGCCCTCTGACTGCTCAGTCTGTTCCTTTTCAGCTCACAAATATGAATAATTTGTTTTCAATCATATTTAAAGTGCTTCAAGATTATAGTTTAAAAGTTTAGAATACAATTGTGCAAGCAATATTTGGTTTAAGAAGTTAACAAACCATTTCCTGTCGTGTTGGTTTGCTGCAGAATTCTGTGGAAGATTCTCTATCTCCACCAGCACAGGACCAGAAGTTGAGGAAGGGATCACAGGCACAGGAGACCTCACACCCCAAGCCTTGGTGGAAAAATAATAAAATGCATTTGTTTTGCCTATATGTATGGTCAAAATCTAACAAATAGAAATATTAACATCAAGAAATACAACATTAAAATGGAGTGCCATCTATATAGGACATAAATGTAATGTAATCAAATGTTTAATTTTAATACACTAATTTTAGGTAATAAATGAACATTCACAATGTACTGATACCCCATATTTATAGACAGAAAATGTTTACAAATCATCTGTTTTACTTGCAGTATCTTAGTAAAACAAGGACAAGTGTTGGAGGTGAGAAACGCATAAACGTTGTAAAATATCACACACTACAAATATTCAGTTAATATGTGCTCTGGTGTTTTAGAAACTTACTACTGTCTTACCTGTTGGGAGTCATTATTCTGGGTTGAAGTATCATGAACACTATAATGAAAGAAAAAACCTATTAAAAACCCTGTATAAAAGGACTGAGGGAAGAAAGGGAGAGAGCAATGTAATTAAAATTAAAGCAATATAATTAAAAAACCTAACCAAACAAACAAACATAAAGACCCAAATAGAACAGAACTGATAAAACTGTTTCCTTAAAATGTATGTCAAGGGGCTGGAGAGATGGCTCAGTGGTTGGGAACACTGGTTGTTCTTCCGGAGGACATGGGCTCAATTCCCAGTACCCACATGACAGCTGCCTGTAACTCCAGTACCAGTGGATCTAACACAACCACACCAATGCACATAAAATAAAAATTTAAAAAGTATGTAAAATAAGTTCAACAAAGTCATACATATCTAACTTGTATGTTAAAGCTTGAAATAGTTTGCATAGTTTGAAATCTTTCCATGGAACCTACATCAGTGACATCTTGTGTTTATAAATCCACCCATGTAAATACATATCTTAGATGTCTTCAAGGTATTAATCCATGCTTTGATTGAGACAATGAAATCCAAGAGCAGAATTGTGGAGTCATTTGGTAAGTCTGACATAGGTATACACACATACATAAAGTTTACCTGTAATTTTACATTCTTTTATTTTTTAATGTTATATATGTATAACTATAATTTTTTCTTTTATCACTAATAAAGCATTATAGGGTTAAAATACTCTACATACAAAATTCTAGGTTATTATTTCTTTCCAATTTTCTTTTCTTTTTTTTTTTTGGGACAAGGTCTCATTACATAGTCCTGGCTGATCTGAAACTTGGTCTGTAGACCAGGCTGGCCTAGAACTCACAGAGATCTGCCTACTTCTGCTTCCCAAGTATTGGGATTAAAGGCATGTGCTTTCTTAATTTTTCAAATTAATAATTCTATATTCTCCTTTCACTTACAACCTATATTCAAAGTATTCAGTTTTATATAATTTACACAGAATTGTTCTAGTTAGTATGGATAATATGGTAATGGGATTTAAGCTTCATCAGAAACATTACACATTTGCAAAACACCCTTTATTTAAAATAACAAGAATTTTTAAAGTTTTTTCTTTTTTTAAACCTTTACTTTCTACATGTTTGGAGGTCAGGAAAACCGGCCAGGGGTTATCTCCTTCCACATACGGGTCCTGAGAACTGTACCCAGGACATCAGGCTTTGGGGCAGATGCCTTTATCTCACCCTCCCCCATTTAAAAACAAAGAAAACAATTCATTCTATTTTTATTTATGTATGTGTATCCATGTGTACACCTGGATAGGGTACCCGAAGACCCAAAAGAAGGCTTGGATCCCATGGGGCTGAGGTTATAGGCAGTTGTGGGCTGCCCAATGTGGGAACTGAGAATCAAAATTGGGTCCTCTGAAAAACAGCCAAGCAGTCTTAACCACTGAATCTCAATTATTACTTTACTTTATTATTGACTATTAAGGGTCCTGGATTTCCAAGAGACCCAAATTTGATTCCCAGCTCCCTCTTCCCTTTTTTCTAAGGAGTCATGTTTGCTCTTCCCAGACTGTAAGATCCTGGTGAAAGTGACTTCCTGGTCTACACATTAAATCCCTTCAAGCCTACCTGGAGCATAAGTTAGCCTCAATGAGTCTATGATTCTTTTGTCACTTTCAAACATTTCTTTCAGCTAGGAATAACTTCAGTAACAACAAAAACAATTTAAACTTGAGAAAAGCATCTCTCATAACTAGCCATATTAAGTCAATCAAAACTTCCTATTTAGATCATATGAAATGTAAAAACCATTATTTTTCTTATAATTTCTTAATAATTAAAAAGTAGGGATTGGGATGTAGTTCACTGGTAGAAGGCTTATCTAGCACCCAGGAGGTCCTGAGTTTGATGTTTAGTACCAAAAACAGAAACAAAGCATCATCAATGAAGAGACAACCGAAGTTAATTCAAAACCCTGATGAAGGGAACTGTGTCAGCACAAGATATCCCAAGACCAAGTTCTCAGCACTAAAGAGACCTATTTGCCCCACCCCCCCCACCCCCAGAGGGACAAAGGACAGGGAATAAGAGACAAAGACAGGAGACAGAGAGGGGAAAAGGAACAAGGGAGAGGAGGAAGGGATATCTGTCCCAGGTGGGGGAGACATGACAAGGACAACGACAATGACATAGGACTGCCTCTAGATATGGGGAGACAGACGTGGCACATAGGAAAATGGTGGTTTATAAAGCAGAAGGGGAACCCTGTGATAGAATGATGTGTTTAGTTTTAATTGGGCATGTTAATTAGTTTAGCCAAAGAGGGCATCTGATTGCTGGATTTTAATACTTTGATAGCTGGACCTTGGTAGTCAGTCTAAGAAAGAGAAAGGCACCAAATAGGGGACAGACCTTATGGCTAGCTTCAAGAATGTGATCTAGAAGTTTTTAGCAAGGCAGAGGGAATTGGGGAGAAGGGCAAGGCCATGTTTGCCATGTTCTGGCTGGCTAGACTTCATTTCACCTGGTTTGTGAATTTGATCAGAAATATATATTCAGAGCATCTTAGAGAAGGGCTTTGTAAAGGACCACAAGCAGTAACTGCCCCCTTTGCTCACATATAGCTCGCTTTCGCCCTTCATCCAGGTACAACAGCACCTGCCCACAGTGCTCAGTGAGAAGGAAGCTCAAGGAGAGTCTCTTGAGTTCAGATCATGGGGCTAGCTTATGCAGCACACCAAGGCCTCGTCATTTAGAAAAAGAACACAGTATTAGTAACCATGAACATCAACTATCCTTGAAAACACTACCCTTTCTTAAAGGTACTAAGTTTGTACTTTTAATTCAAACTCACCAGGAGAGACCGACACGAGCAATTTACAAACATGCTATTCAAACTGGTACATTTTATGAAGCAGCAAAGTAAAAGGTCGAGAAATGTTTCAGGTCAAATAGTTAGACTATAAAAGGCACTGTTCTCCATGGCTCACTGGAGCAAAACCATTCATGAAACAGAACGGCAAGGTCAAGAGTGAAGGGCATGCATGCCAGTCCAAAGTCAGGTGTCCTGAGACTGTATGAAAGAGAGGTGCCTAGTAACCTTCAGGGGGAACAAGCTGTCTCTTCATTTAACTTCTGAAAGACTACTATATATGTATACATACACACACTTTAAGATTAAGATTTATTTATGTGTAGGTGTCTGTGTGTAAGTAATACATGTAAGTGTATATATCCTTGCAGGCTAACTCAGATTATTTGGAGCTGTGAGCCTTTTTTAACTTTTGGGATTATAATTATAATCACTTCTCCCTTCTCTTTCCTCCCTCCAAAGGGTCATCATTTCTTTCTTTTCTTTTAATAATTTTTTTTATTCATTTTATATAACAACCACAGTTCCCCCTCCCTCTCCTCCTCCTTGTTCCCCTATCTCCCCCAACCCACCCCCCAACCACTCCTCTGAAAAGGTAAGGCCTCCCATGGGGAGTCAACAGAGTCTAGCACATTAAGTTGAGGCAGGACCAAGTCCCTCCCTCTGCATCAAGGCTGAGCAAAGCATCCCACAACAGCTCATGCATCAGCGATGGATCCTGAAGGGGCCATCATTTCTTAAGTAGCCTATTTCTGTGGTCTTCTAAAGTCAAAAGCATCACTAATGAAGAGACAGTGACATATACCCATTAAAGTGAAATTAACTCCAATTCTAGAAAAGAGATCATGTTTATTATACTCACTATGTTTTGATTAAAAATCTGAATTTCAAAACACCTTAGAGAAGGGACTTTAACTTTACAAATAAAAACTTAATTGTTTCCCATCATGTCTCTGCTTAAATATTTTCTTTCTGTTTCTACTACTTTCATGATATACCTTTAGGGTGAAATGTCATGTCCTAGTCTGTTTCAAGAAAGCAAGATATGATCAATGAACAACACTATTAAAAAACACGAAGAGCTAATATTCCTTCCCAATTTCTTTGCAAGTACAGCTTCTAAACAATTCAAAAGAAAAACAAACAACCCAAAGCAGATAGTCCAGAGAGGCATAAAACTTTCTTTTTAATCTGAAGCTTTACAAGAGAAACCCCTGGCTCCCCATAACTCCATATTCATTTTAGTCTTAACAGCATCACGAGTCCCTGTTCACAACAGCAAAGCGTTTCTGTAATGGATCACTAATCACAACCTGGCTCCAACAGTTCTAAGTGAAGAAAACTGTACAGGAAAACTCAGGTCTGCAGGAGTGCCATCCCTAGAGCCCGCACGGTGCAGCTCTGACCTCCACATGGGTACTGTGGTAACGCACAACTACACCCTAAACATGCATTGCTACAAACTTAAACACACTAAATAAACAGATAAATAAATGTAATAGAAATTTCTTTTAAGGTATGGTTGACTACTCAGTCTGAAAATAACAAGCCTCTTTGAAGAATTTCAAATTCAGACAGATTTGACACCTACCCACAACCCACACAAAGGTTGTTTGCTGGTTTTATTAAAATAATTATTATATTTGTATAACATGTAAATTTATAGCACATAGAATTACAATATAATTTATAAATTATAAAGTAAAAATAAGTTATTATAATTATTATTTTGTGTCTTTTTTGAGACAAGGTCTTGCAAGAGTAGACCAGGCTAGCCTCAGACTCATCCAGATCCAGGACTCTGCCTCCCAAGTGCTGGGATTGATTGCTTAATAAGCATTCTGGAAGACATCAATATACAGTCGCCTTATTTATTTATTTATTTATTTATTTATTTATTTGAGGCAGGGTTTCTCTGTAGCTTTGGTTCCTGTCCTGGAACCAGCTCTTGTAGACCAGGCTGGACTCGAACTCACAGAGATCCACCTGCCTCTGCCACCCGAATGCTGAGATTAAAGGCGTGTGCCACCACCGCCCGAAGTTGTTTTTGAAAAACATTTTAACACATACTGCTGAAATTAATGGAGCCATTATAATTATCTTTTAAAGGGACACTTAAAGTGACTGAAATAATAATCAATACACTTTCTAACAAAAAATAGATTTACAATATTCACACATATGGGGAAATTAAACAATATATTCCTAAATAACTAATAGTTCTAAGGAGAAATCATGGGTTAGAAAACAATGTGGGGTGTCGGGAGGGCGGTGGTGGCGCACGCCTTTAATCCCAGCACTCGGGAGGCAGAGGCAGGTGGATCTCTGTGAGTTCGAGACCAGCCTGGTCTACAGAGCTAGCTCCAGGACAGGAACCAAAGCCACAGAGAAACCCTGTCTCAAAAAAGCAAAAACAAAAACAACAACAAAAAGAACACAATGTGGGATGAAGCAAAACAGTGCAAATGAAACATACCAAGAGATACAGAATGCAATTAAATAGTGCTCAAGGGGAAGTTGACGGACGCTTCCGCCAGCCGAGGTTAGTTCAAGCCAATCCGGCAGTATAGAAAGGCTGAAGCCCCGGGATCAGAGGTTCACATTTAGTCAGGGTACACAGCAAGCTTGGCGTCTAATGAGACCCAGTCTCAAAAACTTGAAAAATAAACAAAGGTCTCAAATGACCAAGCCACACCTTCAGATAATACAGAGAGAACAAGAAGTTGGGTGTGGTGGTACAGCCTTCTAAAGGCTTAGAAGGTCAGGCAGAAAGACCACAAGTTTAAGGCTAGTGTGGGGCGTCTAAAGAGCTTGTTTCAAACAACTAAGAAACAGCCTGGTAGGCAAACAGTGAGTTCCAGGTCAGCCAGGGCTGCAAAATGAGACTCTGTCTCAAAAACAAACAGAAAACAAGAAAACCAAGAAGCATTTGGGGATGTAGCTCTGTCGTAGAGCACTTGTGCAGCTAGCACCCACGAGGTTCTGGGTAACAAAAAAACAAGAAGGAAAGCAAGAAGAAGAGGAAGAAGTAGCCAGAGCAAGCTAAATCTTAAGTAAGAAGGAACAAATAATAGAGCAAGAAATAACGAAAGGCTAACAAACTAACAAATACTCAGCTGGACTGACCAAGAAAAAAGCGAGAAATCAGTTAGAAAGAATCAGGTAGAGCATAATTGTCTTACAGAAACAAGACTGGAAAACTACAAACTACATTCCTAGGAATTAAGATAGGTTAAAAAATATGTCTACAAAAGGTGATTGAATTAAGAATTTAAAAAGTGGCCTAGAGAAAATCCAAGTTAGATAGTTTTAAGTAGGATGAGGGGAGTGGGAAGAGAGTAAGTGCGCTCTCTCTCTCTCTCTCTCTCTCTCTCTTTTTAAGGGACTGTTTTTTATTATGTATACAACATTCCTTCCATGTATGCTTGCATGCCAGAAGAGGCACCAGATCTCGTTACAGATGGCTGTGAGCCACCATGTGGTTGCTGGGAATTGAACTCAGAACCTCTGGAAGAACAGTCAGTGCTCTTAACCTCCAAGCCATCTCTCCAGCCCTAGATGGTTTTAATAAATACTATCAGTGTTAAGGAAATTCATATCAATTCCTTACAAAAATCTCAAAAAATAGGAGAGGAAGGATTATTTACCAACTTATTCTGTGAGGTCATGAATTGCTCTCATACTAAAACTGGATAAAGAGTCTAAGTAAAGCACAGACCAATACCTATGATGAATACAGACACAGAAATCAACAAATACTAGGAAACCAGATCCAGTAACACGGTAGCATGAACTGTATACCATGATCAAGTGCAATCCCATCTAGAATAAAATTGCTTCCCTGCAAACCCACCTTTCTTCTTTGATGTTATCAATATGAACAACATTCTACTTCTGTAAGCAGCTAAATTTTTCTGAATGTCAATTTTATCTGATGTTTCTTTGTTCCCTATTATCCTCCCGATACCTATGAAACTGACATTCGGCAATGTCTCCAACAAATATGTTTAATTAATGATAGCAACTATATAAATTATCTAAATATGTAAATTGTCTCAGTTCCTACATTGCAAGGCATTACTCACCCAAGATCTTCAGGTTTTGTTGTGCTTGCTGACAAGAGAAAAGATAACATCTTATTAGTCCACCCTGCGTGACAAATTGCTGTACTATTCACAGTAAAACCATGACTAACTGTGAAAACACAGAGGCCATGCTGCAGGGCAGACCAGCATCGCCAGCAGCAGCCTCTTGTATTTTTCAATAAAACACTGCACATGTTTTCTTCTCCAGGATTTCACTTTTGTCATGTGGACCAGAGTGTGGCTATGCTGGCTATGCGCACAAGAGCACAGGTCCCCTGTCCTCAGAAGACAGCATCAGAACCCTTTGCGTTGAAGTTACGGGTACATTTGAGCCACTTGATGTGGGTGCTGGAGCCAAATTTGGGTCCTTTGCAAGAGAGGCACACTCTCTTAACTGTTGAGTCACCTCTCTAGGATGCAGTCTGAGGACAGGATCGCCCTTTGGGTCTGAGGAGTCCGTAGAGGTAAAAGGTCTCTCTATTGGCTGGCTGCACTGCTTCTCTGATCTCTTAGCTTTCACCCCCTAATATCTGACCCTGGGTCTTATTTATTAAGACCAATTAGAATTCACGCTACATTACAGAGTTGAAGTATCTTAAGTGGCAAATGATTTTATGAATTTGTAAATGTCTATGTATGATAGACATTGATAATTTAACAGTAATTACAGTATCATCTACTCATTTTTATATTGTTTTACTGTGTCTCTGTGCGTGATGTGTGTATGTGTGTGTGTGTAGGTCAGTGGATAACTTTGTGGAGTCTGTTTTTTTTTTCCCATTATATAGGTCTTGGGGACTAAACAGGTTAATCAGATTTGACAGCAAGCTCCTTTATCCACTAAACCATTTATAAAGTACCTTTATCTCACCAGTCTAGAGAGAAGACTCAGAAGTTAAGAGTACTTGCTGCTCTGCCAAAGGACCTGGTTCAAGTCTCAGCATTTACATGGCAGCTCACAACTGCCTGCAACTCCAGTTCCAGGGCACTGACATGGTTCATAAAACATGTGTGCATGCATGGAAACCCCCCCAAATAAAAAATTTAATGTATTTTTTACATGCTAAAATTAAAAAAAAAAGAATCAAGGGGTTGGAGTGGCATTTCATCATGAGATTTGAAAGACAAGAGAGAAAATACTGCTCTAAAGCAAACAAAAATACCACTGGGAACATCTACTGAACTGTGCTTACTATTAAAATTAATCTCAGTTAATTACAGAAGTCATTATAATGTAGCGTATGAAGCTCATACAGGAACAGTTTTAATAATTAAAAAGACTTAAAGACTCAAGCAGCGTCCTCTCCAGCACACAAGGAGTGCTAGAACATGAAGACTGGAAAAGAAGGACAAGCCTTTGAACAGGACTGGATTTACCTTTCATCTGTAGGGTCCGCCGGGAGTATCGCTTGCTGGGCCTTCTTTCAAAGGAGGTCGATCTTCTTGCTTTGTTAGTTTTTGTGGTCTGATATTCAGTTTTTCCACTAAAATAAATGAGGCAAGTCAATAGTAAGACAATCTAAGGCAATCAGGCAGAGGAGTAAGATGTTTGCACTTAGATAATCCTGCAAAGCATCCAAAAGGGAACCACTACCAATAGTTGTGACTTTTCCTCTTTTGCAATTTTTTTTTAATCATCCAGGTTTTGGTAAATTATGTAACAGTAGTAATACAGGATTTCTCCCTAAGCATGTATATCACCTACAAACATATTAAATCAGGAGAGAATGTCCATGCATTCTCTAATTTCCTATCCACATGTATCAATGTAAATGTGTAATCCAGAACAAGATTTCCAGTTAATTCTCCTTCTGTGGTCCTACGGAATGAACTACAGGTCTTATACATGCTTTCAAGCACTCTACCAATGGGCTATGTACTCAGCCCTAGCTCCAGTTACTTTTTCTATTATTTTCACAAAAAAAAATTTTCTAGAAATGCTTTTAAAAACTACTCTTGTACTTCTTTGGTTTCCAGCTAAGAAGAAAAGGCTTAAGCATTTCCGACATGGGTAGAACAGAAATTATATTAAGAATCTGTGCATGACTTGCTACCTTACTGGCATGGCCATCCCTTCTTTAGTTGATTCCAATGGCACACTCAAGACTCAACCTGAGCAGCTACTTGAATGTAACAAGAACTGAAGCGTTTCAAATTCATGGCAAAGGAGTCAGTGAAAGCAATTGATTTTGGGGTTTCTAGAGACCTACAGTTGATGTAGGTGGGCCTTCTTTTTTTTTTTTTTGTTTTATTTTTTGTTTTGTAAATATTTATTTATTATGTATACAATATTCTGTTTGTCTGTATGCCTGCAGGCCAGAAGAGGGCACCAGACCCCATTACAGATGGTTGTGAGCCACCATGTGGTTGGTGGGCCTTCTTTCTATATGTTGCTTTCATTGGTTAATTAATAAAGAAACTGCTTGGCCTGATAGGTCAGAATATAGGTGGGTGGAGTAGACAGAACAGAATGCTGGGAAGAAGGGAAGTGAGGCAGAGGCCATGATTCTCTGACCCGAGATGGACGCAGATTAGGATCTTTCCTGGTAAACCACCACCTTGTGGTGCTACACAGATTACTAAATATGGGTTAAAGCAAGATGTGAGAATTAGCCGATAAGAGGCTGGAACTAATGGACCAAGCAGTGTTTAAAATAATATAGTTTGTGTGTTGTTATTTCGGGTGGAAAGCTAGCTGTGCAGAAGCAGGGTGGGACGAAAAGCAGGCCTGTTTGCCTCATCACTACATACAGTATTATTCATATTAATTCCCCATACAATTTTCTGTATGAACACAACCTGTCAGATGGAGAATCCACCTTGTTAAATAAATGTAAATTGTGGCCTGAATAGTATATACAAAATGTGTCAATATATAAATCAATAATTGATTTCTTGTCTAGTCAAAAAATTATTAACAGTAACATTACTTCTTTAAAAATTTTAGCCAATAAGTATCTTTGGCTACATACTTTATTTCTCTGTCTTTGTTTCTGTCTCAGTAAAATCAGTGTAGTTTTAACTTTTCTGGTCTGTATGCAAGAGAGGGTAATGTCAAAACTTAGGGGAATTAACCTATATCTAAATCGTGATCCTAGTCGAATGAATCCCGATCGATGAGAACTCTTTTGGACAGGTCCTCGGAGACGGAAGAAGGCGTGGTGCTCCACTGCACATTTCCATAAGTGTTTGCAGGCCTTTGGATGATCCAGTCTAAAGACAAAGGTGTGCTCTTGTTCTTTACCCTAAAAAAGACAAAGCGGTGTTTATTAAGTCACATCTCCTATTTCTGCAATACAAATACAACTATACCAATACCAAAAGGCAGCCAAGCATGTGGCAAATGCCCGTAATCCTAGTAACCAGGTAAAATGCCACTAGGTCAGGGCCAGCATTACATACACAGTAAGCGCCAGGCCAGCTAGACAACAGAGACCTTGTGTCAAAATAAATCAATGCAGAAAAGTAAATAGTAAAGTTTCAGGAGACATGGCTCAGTGGTTAAGAGCACTGCTTTTTCAGGACATCTGTTTGGTTCCCAGCACCTGCATCAGGCAGCTCACAGCAGTCTCTAAATCCAGCTCAAGTAGAGCTCACATCTCCAAGTTCATCTGCCTAACCACCTACCCACCCACTACATATAATTAAAAATAAAATAAACCTTAAAAAAATAAAAAAGCATCTAGTTTGTTCTCGGAAATTTTGGGGGGTGGGCGACTATGGTGCTGGCCAACCAGTCTTGTCAAATAGGTGAGCTTCAGGCTTAGTAGAGACCCTGTTGCAAAACAGGGTGGAAAGGAATCAACACCTAATATCTGGTCCCATAAACATGCACACACATGTGCACCTCCATGTATACTTCCATATAGACAGTCACATACAACACTCATGAAAAGTCCAGAGGCCATTAAAAAAAAGTGCTACGATGGGTATGGTAGTGCACACCTTTAGTTCCAGCACTTAGGAGGCAGACAAATCTCTCAGTTTGAGGCCAGCCTGGTCTACACAGCAAGTTCCAGGATTAGCCAGAGCTGCACAAAGGAACCCTGTCTCGAAAATTAAAAGTAAAAACAAACCCCCCCCCCCAAAAAAAAAAACCAACTAAACTACTCTCATAGTGTTGAAAGGAGCCATAAAAGCTTGCTAAGGAAGAAAAGCAGTGAGAGCAGTCCTGACTAATGCCTACAGGTCACAGCAAGACGTTCAGTCCCAAAGGGGCAATGATGAGTGGCACTCAGATCTGGGCAGCAGCCAACAGTCACTTAACTGATGAACTTGAGGTCTGCTTACTAAAAGGAATCTGGCATTGTAAACTCGGTCAACTACCTGTGGCTGGTGAGGCCATGGAATCTAGAGAACCTACTATAGCCACACTCCTAAACCGGTGTACTTTCAAACTGTATCCCAAATACATTTCTTTAGATCCACAATTAAATGTGATGCTCACCCCTCATCAAAGAAGCTGCTTTTGGAGGCAGACAGATACCATTACAGAAAAACACATCTGGTCAAAAGGCAGAGAGAGACCAAATTGGCCATGGGCTGTTAGTCCCCAATTAAAATATTTACACTATAACCCCTACAGTTTAGAGCTTAGGGAACATTGCAGGAGGGGGAGGTACTGTAAGAGCCAGAGGATCAGAACATTTGAACAGAGAGATAGTTTCTTATGAAAAAAGGGAGGGAGTCAACCTGGGAGGAAATGAGGAATGGGGGATGAATGTGATCACAAAAGCCTGGGCAACAAACTGACACATGGCCTCAAAACCAAGTAACTACCACCAACTTGTTGCTTTCCACCTCCAGTTTAGAGAGTAGAGAACTTGTTTTCTTGTTTGCATTTGTTTTCTGAAACAGAGTCTCATTGTAGTTGAAGCAGTCATTGAACTCCTGTTCCTTTTACCTCTACTTCTAAAGGTCTGACATTAGAGGTATAAACTCCATGTGATGTAAAAGGGGGGGAAAAGCTTAGCAAGGGCGATGGAGGTGAACGTCTTTAAACCTGCACTTGGGAGGCAGAGGCAGGAGGATCTCTGAGTTTGAGGCCAGCCTGGTTTCTGAATGAGCTCCAGGGCAAAAAACAAACAACCAAACAAAAAACAAAACCAACCAACCAACCAACCAAACAAACAAAAACCCGACAAACAAACTTGTGTGTGTACCAGCCTATGTGCCATGGCACGCACACAGAGGTCAGAGGATAACGTGTGTGTGTGTGTGTGTGTATTAGCCTGTGTGCCATGGCATGCACACAGAGGTCAGAGGATAACATGTGTGTGTGTGTATTAGCCTGTGTGCCACGGCACACACACAGAGGCCAGAGGATAACTTGAATTTGTGTGTGTGTGTGTGTGTATACTAGCCTGTGTGCCATGGCACACACACACGGAGGTCAGAGGATAACTTGAGTTAGTTTTGCCTTCCATCACAAGGGTCCCAAAGATCAAACTCAGGTCATTAGGTCTGCAAACAAGGCCTTTAACCACTGAGCCATCTGACTGGCCCAAAATGTAGGATTTTTGGTCAGAAAGTTTTTTTATTATTATTATTTTTTTAAGATACATTTTTAAAAATATTTATTTATTTATTTATTTATTTATTTATTATACAATATTCTGTCTGTATGTCTGAAGGCCAGAAGAGGGCGCCAGACCTCTTTACAGATGGTTGTGAGCCACCATGTGGTTGCTGGGAATTGAACTCAGGACCTTTGGAGAGCAGGCAATGCTCTTAACCACTGAGCCATCTCTCCAGCCCCTGGTCAGAAAGTTTGAAAATCATCAAACTTCAGCAAGATACAAAGGTAGGTAAATTCCTAGGAACTAAGTAAAATAGAAATCTAAAATATCATTGAAAACAAAACAAACTAGAACTCGGAACCTTTGTATCTTTTGGACTTTTGTTTTATAAAATACATCTCAGGAAACATAAACAAGGGAGAAAAAATCAAAATCTTCCAAAATTAAAGCCACCACACACAACAGACACAGTAGTTTGAAATACTGTCAAAACAAATGAAAAAGGGGGGGGGAACTACTGAGGAGGCAATGAGGGTAAAGCTGTTGAAAGCACATCATATGCAGATAAGAAATTCTCAAATACAAATTTCTTTTTGAAAATTCAAAACTAGTACCATAACACCCACTTACTGTATTATTAAGTTCTTTCACATCAATTCCATTTTTCTTGGTTATGCATCATTTTAATTATGAAAACGATGTCATGAGCATAACTGTCTATCTGTTTGCAGACTGGCCAAGATCATATATTCCCACATTCCCACTAATCACTACACTATTAAAATAACTTCTCCATGGGACAATCAACTGCACGTGAATTCCCCTGAGAATATGTTTCTTATTCATTCTGGGAAGTAAAAAGCAACATACTATATCAGCAACAAAAATTCCTTTTCTGTTTAATAAGTGTACAGGTTTACTTGTAACAAGAAAAGAATATCAAAGTGTACTGGCTGAATAGCAGTGCTTCCCATAAACCCATTTTCTGGTAACGTATCATTTCATTTATCTTTTTTTTTTTTTTTTTTTTGGTTTTTCGAGACAGGGTTTTTCTGTGGTTTTGGAGCCTGTATTGGAACTAGCTCTCACAGAGATCCGCCTGCCTCTGCCTCCCAGGTGCTGGGATTAAAGGCATGCGCCACCACCGCCCAGCTCATTTCATTTATCTAACACCACAAAACTCAGAGATGGTTTTATAAAAGTGACCTATCTAATGCTCATATTAAAAAACTGAAGAGAAAACAGTGCAGCCACCTAAGGGCCTCGCCTTAAGCTACAATCCACTCTTCTGGCTAGCCACTATATTCAATCAGGTCTCCATATCCTCAAGAACTACAGGGGAGTGGAAGGATGTTACTATCACAATGCAGCACACTACTTACCTGTCCTCCAACAACTAAAAGAAGTCAAACTTAAAACAGAAAGAGCTTATAAAATACCTGCAAAACTCCAGAAAAGATGATAGAACTTGACTGCTGCCTGCTGCTTATCACATTTTATATAAGGGGAATGGGAACATGAAAATATGCCCGAATATGATAAAAAAGCTAAGAGAAATACATAAAAATCATTTTAAAATGGGACATTGAAATTAAATAAAAAATAAAATTAACAAAAAATATCAAGTCACATTTTATTGTAAAAAATACTACCAGGTGGATTTTTTAATTTTATTTGTCTTTGAGACAAAGTCTCACTGCCAGCACTATATAGACCAGGGTGGTTTTGAACAAAAAATATCAAATCACATTTTATTGTAAAAAATACCACCAGGTGGATTTTTTATTTTATTTGTGTCTTTGAGACAAGGTCTCACTGCCAGCACTATATAGACCAGGGTGGTTTTGAACTTAGAGATCCACCTGTCCCTGACTCCAAAGTGTTCCAATAAAAGGCAGCTGGCTTGTTCTTTTAGCTCTTTTATTAGGAATTAAGGAAGAGAGTCACCTAATGTAACCTTTGCACACTTAGATACATTACCAACAAAGAAATAATAAATGATAAGCTTTTATATAATCTTTAAGAGTAATGGCACAAAGGTACATTTTAGGATGGTCTGACCTGAATAAGAAATTTACTTCAAAGTATAAGCAATGCTAAGTTACTGTTCTGAGGTCCATCCCCACTTGTTACCGTATAAATGCTGTTAAATAAGTAACACAGCACAGTTCCTACCTGATCGTCATCTTCCACAACCACCAGAGTTAATTTATTCTTCTTAAAATCCAATCTGGTTATCTTGGGCCTGTAATAATATAAGAGCAATAGCCAGATTAGGGGACAATCCTTTTCTATATCAGACATGTCTCCTTATGTCCGAACACTGATAAGAAGGTTAAGGCAGCCAGCACTGCCCATCAAAGTCTTTAAAGGGAGGCAAACACATACTTCAAAAGCAACCAACTAATAAACTGATGTTGCCCATATAACATTAAAAATATGAAGGAAATAAGAAACACATGTATTTTGTACACCCCTAATGTGACACAATGAATTCTGTAACCCTAAGTAAAAACTTAAGAAAATACATGATTAGGGTCTTCTACTGTATTTTACCAGTAACACCTGGGTTTGAATTTGATATGGGTAGAAAGGCTTCAAGCCAACAGCCTTGGCATGTTACAAAAGCAACAACATGGGCCACCTTTAGCTCGTGTCTGTATCACATGCCAAATGCTGCATTAGTTCTGACAAAAATGCAACAACGCAGACACTTTCCCAGTTCAGTGCTCTAGGGCTGTGAAATCTGCGCACCATCTCAGAGTACAGAAACAGGCCGGGAAGCAGGAGTCCAGCCTGACAGCAGGACCGTGGGAGACCATTTCATACGGACACACGCTGACCCCGAGACACTACTGGGCACAGAGCTGGGGGAGAACTGAGATCTGCTCTGGGGAGACTGCAGACGAGTAAGCAGAACAGCAAACACAACTTCACTGCAAACTGCTGAGGATTCCATTGCCAGTTTTTATTAATGATATAAGTGCTCTGACCCATTAAAAACAAGAGGACTTCTGATATCCACACTGCTTACCAGAAAAACAAGCCGATTTTGGTTTCTCCTTCAAACACAAGGACTCCTGTTGGAGTTAGTCCCAAGCTATAGTCATTCCCATCTCTAGCCTAATTTAAGGAGAGAATATAAAATGTATTCTGTTTGTACACAAGAAACAGGTTTCAAGTTTTCACACAACTGGTGATTTTTCTCATTAAAGATTATATACAGGCTAATATTTATATTCAAGATGTTTTCAGTAAATAATAAAATAATCCTCTTCAAGCTACAAAGTATCAACCTTGCTTACTGAACTATTTTAGCAAAGTCTACTCAATAGTGAGCTTCAGTGATATAAAACAGCATCAAATAATAATGATGACCTTAAAAGCTAGTAAAGTTTTTCTCAACTTAAAAATAAACATCTTACAAGCATCCATATACATTTCTAGAATTTTAGTTTTCTCTTCTTTTATAATGTATCTTTCTATAGATTTTAGTCTTTTGTTTTGGTTTTTGGAGACAGGGTCTCTCTACATATTCCTGGCTGTCCTGGAACTCACTCTGTAGACCAGGCTGGCCTCAGACTCACAGAGATCCACCTGCCTCTGCTTCCCAGTGCTGAGAGCAAAGTTGTGCACCACCGCTCTCAGTTGATTCTAGTCTTTTAATATCTAATTTCAGCCATATTTTCCCTATATACCACTTATCAAAAAATACTCAGAGGTGTTTTATACAAACTCATGCCTTCCCTCACACTACAAAATTCACAGTTATATTTAAAACTGCAAAGGAATTAATGTTTAAAAAAAGGATTTACTTTTATTATCTTAAAATCATGTATATGTACACACAGGGTCAAGCAGGGGGCATCAGATCCTGTGGAGCTGGAATCTCAGGTATTTGTGTGTTGCTCCACATGGTGCTGGGACCCAGAGCAGAACCTCTACAGGAACACCACACACTCTTAACTGGAGCGATCCCTCCAGCCCCAGGGAGAAAAAGAGTTTACCTTGACCACGTGCATATCAACTCCATACATTTCTAGCCATTTGGCTTTATTCAGATAATTGGTTTCAGCTTGTGCTGGTGTCTGACCTCTGAAATTTAAAATATAGTAATTATAACACAATAAGCATAAAGTGATTTTAGTGAAAAACAGAAACAAAAGAAAATAAATACAAAATAATGAGAGTGGTGATGTTTAAAAAGTATGATCAAATTATGAGTTACCTGTATTCCTTCCATTTCTCAAAAATAGCCAGCTCCATCTCTTCGGTCTGAATGGGCACAAATCTGAACTCGGAGACAAGTTCAGGACTATGTTCAGCAAGATCATAGTCGCCAAGCTCAGCTACAAATATAGTTAACAAAGTTATGCTGTGTTAATATTCTAAATACTTGGAAAATCCTAGTGGTGGAACATACCTTTAATCCCAGCACTGCATGATGGGGGTGCAGACCCATGGCCCCTTGAATTTCTTTGCCTGCCTCAGACCCTTTGCCTGCTGGAGTGAACTGAGCAAAACAACTTGTTTTCCTGTGTTTGCAGCTGCTCTAAGCCCGAGACCCTCATGAGTTCCTGATGGCAGGGGAGTGAATTCTGGTGGGTTTTACACTGGAAATCCCAAGAGCTGGGGTGTGGCTATCAGTTAAGGATCCCAATATAAACTTCCCTGGAGCACAATAAAGTTGGCATTCTTGTTTCAAGGATGACCCATGTCCCCGTGTCTCTGTGTGTGTTTGTGTTTTTAAATCTCCAGCATAGCTCCTGACTCATGTACGTCCCATCCCGTTAGTGCAGGCGCAACAACTGGAGACAGAGGCAGATGGATCTCTGAGTTCAAGGCTAGCCTGGTCTACACAGCAAGATCCAGGACAGCCAGAGCTACACAGAAAAAACCTGTACGAAAATCCTTTTTAAAAAACACATTTTGTAAACAAAGAATAAGAGGATTAGTAAAATTCTTTCTTAAGCTACCAGCCAGCCATTCATAAAGATTAGACCACTCCTTCCAAGAATCCAGTTTCCATCTAGGATTTGAGCTACACACAAATGTAGTGGTTTCACTGAGAATGGCTCCCATACACTTACAGCTAAATGCTTGGTCCAAAGTGAGTTGAAGTTTTGGGGAAGGATTAGGTGGTGGCCTTGTTGGAGGTGTGTTAGTGGGGTTGGGTTTTGAGGTCTAAAATTCCCATACCATTTCCAGTCATCCTCTCTGCATCATACTTGTGGATCAGATGCAGGCTCGCAGCTACTGCTCCAGCGCCATGTCTGCCTGCCTGTTCCCATGCTCCCTGCCATGACAGTCAAGGACTCTAACCTTCTGTAACTCTAAGTGCCAAATTAAATGCTTCCTTTATAAGTTGCCTTGGTAATGATATTCTGTCATGATAATAGAGAAGACAACATAAATCACAATTGTTGGTGGTGTATTTTTAGTTATACCTTTTTCCTAATTTATTCATATACCAATACTTAGCTTTTGGAAATATATTTCTGTATTTCCACAGAGTAAAAAAAACATCTTTGACCTTGTAATTCTTAAGACAGTTTAACTGTTATCTATTTAAAAAAAGAAAACTATTCAAGATGCACAGTATATAGCATTGTAGTGTATTACAGTATTTGTCTGGAATGTAAAAGTATTTTTTTTCTTTGAGACAGGGTTTCTCTGTGTAGATTTGGAGCCTGTCCTGGAACTAGCGCTTGTAGACTAGGCTGGCCTCGAACCCACAGAGATCCACCTGTCTCTGCCTCTCGAAAGCTGGGATTAAAGGTGTTTGCCACCATTACCTGGCTGCAAAAGTATTAATACTAAAAAAATTTTTAAAGATACATGAAGAAATTATTTTAGCATAATGTATAACAATGGTAACCACTCATTTGGAGTTTCTATGTCCTCTAGACCAATGCTTCGAGCACTAGTGAGCCAAATGTGCTAAATAAAAAAAAGTATAAATCCTATGTGTGTATGTATGTGTGGGGGGCGGGTATGTACTGGAGTGTTCGAGGACACACACCTAAGCCTGCGCATGTAGAGGTCAGAAGAGGATGGCAGGCGTCTCCCCTGATGGTTTTCTGACTTACTGTCTTAAGTCTAGGTGTCTCACCATTTTAGATGGCCATCAAGTTCTTGGATCTGCCTGTGTCAGCTACAAAATTCTAAGAGCCTTTGCCAGATCTCCATATGGGTACAAGGGATTAGTATCTCTCTATCTGCAGATCAGGAACTCTCACCTAGCAGGCGAAATCCCCAGCCCCATACATACCCCACTTTTAAGCACATTGGCTGTAACGAGGGACAAATAGAATACAGAGAGCATTTCCAAACTAAAGTCTCCCCTTCATTATGCAGATAGACAGAAAACAAGTTTTAATTCGGAGACAGATCACAACAGTGAAAAAAAAATCAAGCAGGTAAAAATTTCTGTCACCAGAAAAATATGCTTTTTTAATAATGAATATATAAAATAAGGAAAATTATTAGGTTTACTGCAAAACGTGCATATTGTTTTATTATCTACACAGTGACAAAGATGGCTGATCTTAGAATAAATGTACAACCACTAAGAGGGCAAAAATCTAAAGTCCTGAGCATCATTAAATATAACTCTAATTATAGTATACAGTGAGATATTCCAGAAAAACGTTTTCTTTTAATGGGTGAACAGGGAGACTCAAATTACAGATTTCCTTTAAAATGTTCACTTTTGGGGAAAATACTTATACAGAAGTATTTGGGTAAGTTTCCCACTAACCTCATTTATTAAAAAAATACTTCAACGTGACCAGCAGGCACTTTTCAATGTACACTGGACTGATCTTGTTTACGTATATTTGGGTTCCTCACGAAATCATTTTCAGGCATGAAGAAAGCCAGCTGTGAACAACCATGGTAATTTACTCTTGTGTCACCATGTTCTCTTTATGGAAAAGAATCAGCTTAGGGCCCAGTCTCAACATTTATTCAGTTAGCAGGTGGGCTGCAAACTGTCTCAAAGTTCTACAGATGGAAAGAGAGCAGGAGCTCATTAGTTGGGAGCACCAACTGCTCTCCCAGGGGGCCTGGGTTTGATTCCCAGCACCTACATGGCGGTTTAAAACTGTCTCTAACTCTAGTTTCAGGGAACCAATGTCTACTTTTGCCCTCATGGGCACCAGGCACACACACGGTGCACAGACATAACAACAGACAAAATACCTAGATACTTAAATTAAAAAAAAAAAAAAAAAGAATGGGCTGGGCCAGAGAGATGGCTCCGTGGTTAAGAGCACTGAGTGTTCTTGTGGGTTTGATTCCAGCACCCACAAGGCAACTGTGTGTGACTCTAGTTCCAGTGGATCTGATACTCCCACACAGACATGAATGCATATAAAATAAAATGCATATAAGATAAAAATAAAGTTTTAAACATTTAAAAAAAGAAAATTAAAAGAGCAAAGAATTGAGAGGAAAAGCCAATGAAAAATAATAATTATTTTTCCTTTGATTTTCTCTGTGTAACAGTCTTGGAAATCACTCTGTAGACCAAGTTGGCCTCAAACTCACTGAGATTCACCTGCCTCTGCCTCCCAAGTGCCGGGATTAAAGGCAGCGCCACCTCTGCCTGGCAGAAAACAAACTTTTTAAAAATGAAAAGTATTTTAGCAGAAGACCCAGTAAATTTGATGTACTGCTCCCCATGTGTTCTAGCCCCTTCTGTGGCTGTTCCCATGTCCTGGTGTCCTGAGACTGTTCCCCACGTCCTGGTGTCCTGTAGCTAACTCATATTACTTTTAAGCTTTTGAACAGCTTCCACAAGTGCCCTTGATTTTTTTTTT